GAGGTTATAACCCATCCCCCACCTCCCCTCAGACACCCCAGTGCTCCCTGTGCCCCCCAGCCCCCCGTTACACAGGGGAGAGGTTCTAACCCATCCCCCACCTCCCCTCAGACACCCCAGTGCTCCCTGTGCCCCCCAGCCCCCCTCACACAGGGGAGAGGTTATAACCCATCCCCCCCCTCCCCATACACCCCCCAGTGCTGAAGGGGCCCCCCCCCTCACACAGGGGAGAGGTTATAACCCATCCCCCACCTCCCCTCTGACACCCCAGTGCTCCCTGTGCCCCCCCAGCCCCCCTCACACAGGGGAGAGGTTATAACCCATCCCCCACCTCCCCTCAGACACCCCAGTGCTCCCTGTGCCCCCCCAGCCCCCTCACACAGGGGAGAGGTTCTAACCCATCCCCCACCTCCGAATAGGTTCTCCTAGTCCCAAGGGACCAGCCCCAGCCCCAGCGCGATTTCTACCTCCACTCTCACGCAAAGAGCCCGCTGGGCCGGTCCTTAGCATCTGCACTTTTACAGGTTCTTGATAAAAGAAAGGGAAGTTGAGGATGAAGTGACAGACCCCAGTTGCAAAGCTGGTAGCAGAGATGGACTAATCCGCTGGCTTAGACCGCGGCTCCGGCACGCCCCTGCTGCTGGGACGGGCCACTAGTCCTTTCAGGGGCCAGCTCGTAGCCTGATGACAGAGCCCCTGTCTGAGCCGTGTGCGGGAATCCCACGGCGCTCGGGTGGAGTGTGGAGTCCCGTGGGCCTGTCTCCTATCCAGGCAGGCTCAGTTCTTGGTGGGTGGAGCCAGGGCCCATGTTGCGGCTCGAGGGTTTGCAGGAGAGTCCGGGCACCTGCCCCACGCTGACCGTGTCTCACTGGGCCGATCAGCGCTCGAGCGCGTCGTGGGGGTCCTGGAGCGGCAGGGGAGAAAAAGCCAGTCAGGGCTGGTGCACGTGGCTCTGGGACACCCTGCGTGTCTAGGGCTCCGTCTGCGCCGCTTGCTCTCTGTAGCATGGTACTGTCCAGCTCATTCCCAGGCTGCTTCTGTCCGCCCCCCACCCACAATGGAATGGGTCCGCACCCGCTTCCCGCTGAGCGGCAGGGCCGGAGCCACGCTGGGGCGGGGGCAGGGTGGCGAGGGGTGGTGCTCTTTCCTTGCCCCCGTGGGGCTGGCTCCAGGCGCTGCCACACCCCACCTCCAGATCTGCTGGGTCTCGCCCCCAGGGAACTGCCCTGTGGCTAAAGCTCGGTGGGGGCGGTTATGCCCAGCCGCCCCACTGCAGCCGTGGGCAGAGCTGTGAGGCCATAGGCGCTGCAGTGACTCCATGGGGAAAGAGAGTGTCCCTGCCCCCCGAGTGCACTCACTGCAGACCCCCCACTCCAAGCAGGTTCATTGGGCGAGCCCCCCAGCAGCTGAGTCTGGGCTGGAGCCTGGCGACTTCTGGGCAGATGCAAGGGTGGGAATCAAACTCAGCAATTGTCCCTCATCTTTCCCTCCTCCCGGCTGGGTGGGCGGGGGAGCCAGCGACGGAGCCAAGTGCGGACAAGGTACTGTTTGCACTCACTGCAGACCCCCCACTCCAAGCAGGTTCATTGGGCGAGCCCCCCAGCAGCTGAGTCTGGGCTGGAGCCTGGCGACTTCTGGGCAGATGCAAGGGTGGGAATCAAACTCAGCAATTGTCCCTCATCTTTCCCTCCTCCCGGCTGGGTGGGCGGGGGAGCCAGCGACGGAGCCAAGTGCGGACAAGGTACTGTTGTCTTCACTGGGGAGAACACGGGGGGTCCCTTGCCCTCGGGGCCCCTGGGCAGGTGAGCTCTGAGCTGGGGGTGCCCTCAGGATTTCTAGCAGGCCCCCCACGCTCGCTGGCCCCCTGTCCCGGAGCCTGGCTAACACTCTCTCTCGGCTGCAGATGGCAAGGCCTACAGCTCGGACGAGGAGAAGCTGGAGGTGAAGTCGGCCGCAACGCCCAGCAGTGAGCGGGAAGAAGAGAGCTCGGCGCCAGACAGCGAGGACGAGAGCTTCCTGGACGGCAGCAGCGCCGGCTGCCTGGGGCCCAAGGCCAAGCCCAAGGGCAGCTCCGGGGGCGAGCAGGCGCCCCCAGGCTCCAACCCAGGGAAGAGCCGCCGGAGGCGCACGGCCTTCACCAGCGAGCAGCTGCTGGAGCTGGAGAAGGAGTTCCACTGCAAGAAGTACCTGAGCCTGACGGAGCGCTCGCAGATCGCCCACGCCCTCAAGCTCAGCGAGGTGCAGGTCAAGATCTGGTTCCAGAACCGCCGCGCCAAGTGGAAACGCATCAAAGCCGGCAACGTCAACAACCGCTCCGGCGAGCCCGTCCGCAACCCCAAGATCGTGGTGCCCATCCCAGTGCATGTCAACAGGTTCGCCGTGCG